TTAATTTATTTTCTCCACCAGACGCTCGAGGACATTTACGAGCCGGTCCAGCCGCTTGTTGATCCCCGCGATCCCCCTGATGATTTCTTCCTGCGATTGCAGGACCGCCTCCGTGAGGACCCTTCCACTGCGTCCGGGTGGTCCAGCGGAAGCGCAGCGGCTGGTGGACGCTCCACCGCTTGTCGGCGCGCTGGTGCTGGTGCTGGGGCCGGGGGCCGGGGTGGCCCGAATGCCGCTGGTCCTGGCCGACGACTCCGAGCCGGCGGACGGGCTGCCGCGGGCCGGGGTTCCGCAAGCCGGCGACACGGCCGACACATTGATTTCTGTGACACAATAAAAATATTGGTTCATTTCAATTCCTGCTTCTGTGTATCCGTTGCGTTTATATCTCTCTCCACGGTATCATAGGTAATGTAATCCAGTATTTAGAGGTCAGTTATGCACATTACAGTTGTTTATTGCATAAAAAGTTATCAAAAAATGAAGTTAAGGGCGAAGTATAAATCACGTCTAAAAATAGACTGAATCCCGACGTTGAAATGAAGTATAAACTTAGACTAGACGTCTAATATACATCTTTTGCTCAGTGGGATGGCAAAGCATGTGGACATTTGTGTGACACGCCACTTACCCTATAATAATAATCGCCACCACCCGCTGCTCAAACGGCGTGAGGGTCTCCTCCCCCGGAACCCCACCTGTCTGGCCGGTACTCCTCCGGAGGGCAGCTGTACGCCGCTTGACCTCCACCTTGAGGTCCGAGCACTTTTTTTTAATCCCCGCGGGGGTGCGTGTCTCGGAACCCACCGTGTTCACCCTCTCGGAAACTTTCTCCCACTCCAAGCGTTTTCGTTTTGCACTGACAGGCTGCCAAACAAAACACGCTGTCGCTCCTCCACCTCCGCCACCAGCACCTCCACCTCGCACGCCGTAAATTTAGTTTTTCTTGTCATTTTGTCTGCGTGCGAGGACAGGGAGACCCTATTTAAATAAATCTGCATATTTATAGGAGGGCGTAACGGGGGCGGGCCCGGTCACTCCGACATCTGCGCTGAATTCCAAGCTGATTGGGATTTATCAAGGAAACACACGTGGCTTTCGGCGCCCGCACACCTTGATACATACAGATTTTTTTCAGCGTGACGGACCTTGCGTGCGCTCGTTTCTAGTATGAGTCCCACGCAAGTGTTGATACATGAGGCCCCAGTTCAGCCGCCGCAGTAGCAGCTGCAGCGGGATGGGGAGAGGACACGGAGACGTGTCCAGGTCGAGCTGCGCGAGAAATAAGAGGAAGAGTAAGAACGAAAAGGAGGGAGACGAATTACATATCTTGTTAACTTCCTCATGTGTGTCTATTTACTAGATATTTAATTTAATTTAATGCGGTTTCAGCTGTGTTATTTGGTCAGGTTTTGTGTCCAAACGCATGCCAAATGCGCTTATTAGATCAGATATTGATCAGAATATATCGATATAGATCTAAATGTATGAGCTGACTCAGATTATTGGTTGTTGATTATTTTTTGCACTGAAATGTGCCTGACACTGTGGAAACTTGCCGGTGAGGCATCGGTGACGTATGCCGATACGCTGCCAGTCTACTGAAATACCACTAGGCCAGCTGCGCTCCGCCTGCTCTGAAAGCTGACCAGGGGCCTTATGTATCAATACTTGCGTGGAACTCATACCAGAAACGAGTGCACGCAAGGTCCGTCACGCTGAAAAAAATCCGTATGTATCAAGGTGTGCGGGCGCCGAAATCCACGTGTGTTTCCTTGATAAATCCCAAACAGCGTGGAATTGAGCGCAGATGTCGGAGTGACTGGGCCCGTCCCCGTTACGCCCTCCTATAAATATGCAGATTTATTTAAATAGGGTCTCCCTGTCCTCGCACGCAGACAAAATGACAAGAAAAACTAAATTTACGGCGTGCGAGGTGGAGGTGCTGGTGGCGGAGGTGGAGGAGCGACAGTCTGTTTTGTTTGGCAGCCTGTCAAGTGGCGTCAGTGCAAAACAAAAACGCTTGGAGTGGGAGAAAGTTTGCGAGAGGGTGAATGCGGTGGGTTCCGAGACACGCACCCCCGCGACGATTAAAAAAAAATGGTCGGACCTCAAGGTGGAGGTCAAGCGGCGTACAGCTGCCCTCCGGAGGAGTACTGGCCAGACGGGTGGGGGTCCGGGGGAGGGGACCCTCACACCGTTTGAGCAGCGGGTGGTGGCGATTATTATTATAGGGTAAGTGGCGTGTCACACAAATGTCCACATGCTTTGCCATCCCACTGAGCAAAAGACGTATATTAGACGTCTAGACTAAGTTTATACTTCATTTCAACGTCGGGATTCAGTCTATTTTTAGACGTGATTTATACTTCGCCCTTAACTTCATTTTTTGATAACTTTTTATGCAATAAACAACTGTAATGTGCATAACTGACCTCGAAATACTGGATTACATTACCTATGATACCGTGGAGAGAGATGTAAACGCAACAGATACACAGAAGCAGGAATTGAAATGAACCAATATTTTTATTGTGTCACAGAAATCAATGTGTCGGCCGTGTCGCCGGCTTGCGGAACCCCGGCCCGCGGCAGCCCGTCCGCCGGCTCGGAGTCGTCGGCCAGGACCAGCGGCATTTGGGCCACCCCGGCCCCCGGCCCCAGCACCAGCACCAGCACCAGCACCAGCATCAGCACCAGCGCGCCGACAAGCGGTGGAGCGTCCACCAGCCGCAGCGCTTCCGCTGGACCACCCGGACGCAGTGGAAGGGTCCTCGCGGAGGGGGTCCTGCAATCGCAGGAAGAAATCATCAGGGGGATCGCGGGGATCAACGAGCGGCTGGACCGGCTCGTAAATGTCCTCGAGCGTCTGGTGTAGAAAATAAATTAATTTGGCTCATTGAACTGTGTATTCACTTCTTACCCATTCACACTGTGGCGATGAGATTCTCCCGCGCGAGGACGGCGGCCCGGCAGGGATCAGCTCGCATCCCTCCGTCTGCTGATAGTTCGTCATGTGGGGCGACGTGCTGCTCGGCCATGGGGATGTGGTGCACGCTTGTCACATAGTGAGTCACCAAACACCGCCACACAGCGTCGCCAAAGTGCGAATCACAGTCAACGCAAGTATCGGCTCAACGCCAATTTCTACACCACCTCCTGACTTTGCGTTGATTAGCGCTGGAACCGACGCTCGTTTCGCGATGATAAATCTGGACGTGTGCGCCGATTTTGGCGTACGCAAGGTTTTCTTGCGCCGCAAGCGTTGATACATAAGGCCCCAGGTTTGAATCGGCGAGCTTTCAGCGCACTTTACACGCCGGTGGCGAGCACGAAAATGTCACTGAGCAGCTGATTCTGTGGACACCTCCCCCTGCCACACCACCACGCCCAGCATGACGGACCTCAGTGCACCTCAGTCCACGAAAATACCAAACTGGCTGTACGCCGGGCTCCGCCAGACGAAAATACCACTGCGCGGGGTCCGCCACCCTCCAACGCGTCGCCAGCGGACACGGAAATAGAGCCCTTGGTCATAAGACTTTCAGGACAAATAAAGCTTCATCTCCCCTACAAAGTTCATGAAAAAGAAATTAAAACCTAAACTGATTATTTTGGTTGCAGGCTGTAAACATGTTAAGTTTCCTGTAAAAATTACATTTCAACATAGGTGTAAATAAGAGTTACGGCTCTTTTGAAGCCAGCTTCAAGTGGACAATTAAGGGGCTGCAGTTATTTGTATGACAAATGCTCAATTCTCAGTCCATGAGGTTGCTGCTTGATCATAAGCACACATTTAAAACCACAGTCAGCTGGGTGTCTTTGACCTTGGTGGTCATAGAGTTTATTTTAGCATTAAACTGTGTTTTAAAGATAACCTTACTGATGCAGGACATGTAGAATCCATTATATGCCAGTGTGCATCTTTTATTTTAAACAGCTAGCGATGTTAGCTGGTTTTGTTGTAAATACCTAATTTACTATTATATTGTATCACGGCTTAACTAAGTGTGTCATGATCCAAGGCTGTTTCCTTGGCCCTCATTTATCAATCTTGCGCAGTTCTGAGCGCAGATCTGAGCGCAGGATTCATCCTACGATAGAACACACATGAGATTTATGAAAGGGTTTGTATCTGACCAATCCCAGCGTACGTATGATCGGGTCTTGATAAATGCGGCGGCTGAAATCAATCGTTATTAACGTGTTTACGCCTTTAAATATTCGTGGTTCAGAAGCCTCGCCCACTGAGGTCAAACATGAAAGAGGAGAAATATTAGAAAGATGCAACACTTCTTCGAGCTGAAAGTTTTTTTCTCTTTGGAAGCATCAAAACTGGTATAAAAGCAGTCCAGAAAACTCTTGTCTGGAGCAGGATTATGGAGGCGGTGAACAGCGCTGCCGCGGAATAGCGGACAGTGGCTGAAGTTTAAATAAATCATTAGTCAATAAGTTGCTCATGATGATAAATTAATATCTCATACATGCCTCATATTTTTTATTGCTATGACATAGGGTACGTTGCTCCTATTACTGAAAGTATTTAGTTTTAATTTGTTGCGTCTTTGTAATGTAGAGCAGACTGGAGAGTCTGACAGAGGCTGAACAAAAATAATTACCAACGTCACCAAACGGTGTGTTGCTGCCCCTGAGGCACATTTTTATGGATTTCTATTGGATTTTTATCACTGATTAAAGCACTTTCTAAACTTATACTTTACATCAGAATCCATCGATAAGGTCCTGTCTCCTCTGTGCAGCACCTTTGTGAAGTCTCTCCTGGTTATTGTTCTCCGGGTATTGGGTCCTCACGTTGCACCGGCTTAAATAAAGGGCCCTTGTGTTTTGGTTGTCTGTATGCTCTCTCTCTTTCTCTTCCTGCAGCACTGGAGCATGGCAAGGGGGCGGAGCTGGCTGGGCTGATCAGGAACACCTGCACCTTATTGTGCTCATCAGCTGGCCTTTAAAAGCCAGATTCCTGTCCTGCTCTTTGCCGGATGATTATATCAGTCTTCCTCTCGAATCAGTCGGTGCCTCTTGTGTCCTCCTGCTTGTGCCACCTGTCTGCGACTCCTGTCTGCCTTTGCATCTTTTGTAAGTTTGTTTGTCACTTTCTTTCAGTTGTTTTTTACTTTATAGTTCTAGTTTTTTCCCTCACATTTTTCTGAGGTGATTTTCTGTGTGTCTTTTGTTTTCTGTTGAACTTTCTAGTTGACTTTATATTCCTTTGTTACTTGCCCCATGTGGTATATTTGAGTTGTACTTTTAATGTCAGAGGTTGTTGTAGTTTTTCTGTAATTTTCCCTGACACTTGTTTTTCTTCGTTTTCAGTAGCTGTCCATGCCTCCTGAGCCTTTTTACCCTGCAATGTGATTTTATGTTGTTTTTTCTTGTTGATATTTTTGTTAATAAACTTTTAGTGATTTTGTCTGTGCAGTATTGGGTCCTGGCCTTTTGTATACGTAACAAAGTGTCTGCTTATATTAATAATTTTATCTAAAGCAAATCACCAATAACCACTCAAATTTTCATGGTATCATTTGCTAAGGATTTGCTACGGATTTATATAGCCCCAAGGTCCCTCCTGTAGAACATTTTTCAGTAAATATTTCTAGGTGTTGTTTACTTCATACAATATTCTAGGATTTAAGGAACAGCCTGAAAACCAGCCACTTTCATCACTATTACCATTTGGTCTCATTACCCACTAAGGAGATTGACATCAAGGGTACCTTTGGAGTAGTCAAGTATGAGGCTTGTGTTGGTGTGAGCATGCAACTACAGGGTACAGCTGAAATGAAAACCAAACCAGTACAAGAGCAGTTAATGCGAGAAACCACAGTGATTTATGGTCCATAATCCAACCATGTTCAAACTTTGAGCCTTGAAGCTTTTTCTCTGCAGGAATTTACTCCTTTTTTTTTTTTTTTTTTTTTTTTTTTCCTTTTTTTTCTTTTTGCTGCAAAGGTTTCATGTGGCAATGTGGGTTCATAGCACCTACACACAGCAGATATCATGGGTTTAAACAAAACTATTTACGACAAGAACAAAAAGAAGCCCTGCCAAGACTACAGCCATTTTCAGGAACTATAAAATCCTTGAGTTGGCATATCCTTAAACTGTGTAGATGACACAAAAGGGGTACCTTCCATGTCATCTTCTATCTAGTCCTTTCCCCATGGTCATCTGCCCCAGGCACAGAACCCCCCAAAATCTAGGGTCCTTTATCCACCTGCTCAGTCTCTCTGGGACATTTTCTGCTTGACCCCCTGCAGAGGACCACTCTTTGAGTTTTTGGAGTTTTTCAATCCATCTCTCAAAGTGATCTTTTTTTCTTAAGGAGGGTTAGAGTTGTTTTCTTTCTGAAAAGCAGACAGAACCAGAAAACATTGGGAGAGCATCTCTTTCACCAACAGCACTTCAGTTCGGTGCTCCTTGTTGTTTATGCTCCCTAATGGACTAGGGTTAGGGTTATGCCCTCTTAAACAGAGCCCAGTGTCATACTGGATCTGCAGCCCTATTGCTACATGAAAACCTGACCTGGCTGATAGACATTTTCAGTGTGGATATGCTGAAAATACACATATAGGTATTAATATTGAGATAAATGTATATTTCACAATATTCACAATATTTTCAGCCTATAGAAGAAAGATCTTAAAGAACATTACATCACTGACACAGGTTTTATTCAGTTTTTATGGGCTGTACAGCTGCTATACATCTCAGCAATGCAAAGCAAGACTAAGCAACAACTGCAGAGGACACTGTGTTTGGTGGGAATCACAGACCCTCCTCTTAAACGGGTGATAGGGTGAGGGTTTTGATTCTTTCACAACCTTGAAAGAAAGAATCAAAACTCCTTCCCCCGGCATGTCCACAGTCTTCTTCATAGTAACTATTGATACTTAGATTAAATTTATCCCTAAACACAGCTGAGCCTCTGGCACAGATTGATCATTATTTCCATTATGTCTGAGCAATTGCTGTTTAGAGAAATAGGCCGCAAATCCCAAAGCAATGCAGCCTGAAATTACATGAAAGAGTCCACAATATACTACATAAGAAAAAGTGCACCACACATACAAAAAGGAGCTGCAAATAACTCACTGACGCCAAGACTAAATGCACACATACACGCGATCTAAAATGCTGCAAAATCAACAAAGGGACTCTGTGTCTGTCCAGGCCTGTGTGGTGGAGCAGATATACCGACCAGAATGCAAGAGCTTAATGTTACTTAAGTAATTACCCGAAGTTCACCCTTACTGACTTTGACCTCCCCTTGTACTTAGTACCCTTACACAGGGCAGTGTTTTTATTTTTCAGACTAGCACTGTAGCCTCAACAGCCCTGGATACAAAAGATGGCTCCAAACTGGCAATAAACAAATATTAAAAAAAAAAACATAGAACTACTGCCTTCCCTATTGTTGAACTGACCTCCTTTGGTCTCTGGGGCTGCATTGTTACTGACCCTGCCAAGACTTCCCCAGCCTGACATCTCCAAACTCCTCATGGTATGCAGCTGTTGTGCTTTGAGGACTAAACACCAGCACACCCCCGTATGTAAGGCCAGACATGGTCAATTTTTTGCACTTTCTTTATTTACCTTAAATGACTCCAGGAGTTTATAAACACTTCACAAAACTGTGTTGTTATCATCAAGTTTTTACACTGTTGTTTTAATGTGTGAAATATCATCAGTGATCACAACTTTGCTTTCTTGCACAAAAAACAGATTGGCATTGGCTGTCTCACACACTGCCCTTCTGACACCCCAACCCAACCAGAGCATGTGCTGCACATGTTTACTGTGTAAAAAAGGGCATAAAAAGACAGATGCTGAAACAGCTAGTCGAGCTGAACTGAGGGGCTTTAAAGCAGACTGTAAACCATACAAAGCTATTCAGCTGATATCCCAGGAGGAAATAAGCGTAATAGATCCCCTCTTAACGCTGAATAGTGCCCTTTTAACCATTTAAAAAAAAAAAAAAATCAGAGCAATAAGTGCTTCATATGTTATTGAGAAAAGCATAAATGTCTGAATCAGTGTAACAAGGGTCTTCATGAGTCAAATAATTTCATATATTAAGGAGTTTATTGTCATAGTAACAAACAACATACTGGTCTTGGCACAGTTTCTTAATCTTCCAAACATCCAATCACCTCAGCTTTCCTGCTGCTGTCCTCAACTGATGCACAGGTTTACCGACTCACACTGACAGTAATTTGAAGAATAATTAGGGCATTATGAATTGTCCAAATAAATAGTCTTAACAGTATCCAAATTTTCTTTCAGATCGATGCATTTTTCACACAGACAATAATTCCTGAACGAGAGTTTACATTATGTTTAAAGGATAATAAATCGCTTACAGTTTGAACTGTAGAGACTGTTGTACACTAAAGTAGCATGAATCAGACTCTGACATAAGAAAGCCAGAAGAGAATTAAGGATTCTGAGGATCTATCTGAGATGAAAATGTGCTGTTAGAGACATTGCTTTCTGGGGCTAATTAAAGAAGAGGTTTGGATCAAAGAGAAACACCAAGGTTCTGACATATTCCTGTTTGATAACTGTACAAGCGCCAACATTAGGTATTCAGTCATGGTTAAAGCAGTGCATGCAGATATGCTACCATTAGAGCTTGCAGTATGTATTTAAATTAAGTATGGCATACATTAATATATATTTTTAAAATATTATTTTATCAAATTAATACTATTCAGCCTTTTGCACTTAAGACACATATTTTCTCTTATGTAAGCTACAAGTTTGCTCCAAGTGTACAAATGAATAGAAGAAAAGGTCACTTATTTTTGGGCATCTCCAAAATACGGAAAGGTACTAGCCTGTATTTGAATAAAAGCCCTTTTACATTTACAATGAGAGGGAACGTTTCTGTACATTATGTTGCTTTGACAAATTTCAAGGCCTTCCTAAGCCCAGTGAGGGTGCCTTGTTCAGCAAGTGTTTTCATAGAGACTGACGTTCCATTACTGATGCTCTTTAGAGTTATGTTCGAAGCAGAGAGAAGAAACATGCCTTTGAAGATTTGTTGAGAAGTCTGGATGAAAATGTTGCCAATTTGAGTAATGACTTCTTCACATGGGCAGAGGTTTAGCATTGCGGAGGGACGCATATTTATCAGGGATGTGGTGGTGTTTACTTTTGATGCTCAAATATTTGCTATGTCTGCACAACCTTATGAATTACACTAAGTTCATGGACAGGAACACGTACAGTATGAGTCAGGCATGTACGTATATGAAAGCAGGTCTGCTCTGCAGTATAGTCCACTTTACCAGCAAATATTGAACATCCTGTCAATCAACTTAGATTTTCCATCCGTTCCCTACAGACTTAACACATGTGCAAATTAAGGGTGTGGAAAATAATCTAAATTAATCGATGCATCGATGCGCATGTGCGCGATGAGACTGCGTCGGCTCATTCACTGGGTATCGATGCAATTGACGGGTTAAATCTAGATTCATCTAGATGCGTTGGTGGGTATCGGTAAAATCCGATGCAAGCGCCGTTTTATTCATGTTAAACTTCACCCCATCTGCTGTTCCCCAGGCGCATTGAATGCACCATCATCATTTCACGTTTTGTATTGAATACGGACAGAAGCCGTGAGGGACATACAATGCACTACTAGTAAAACAGCATGGACCACATTCAAGTGAGCAGCAGCGAGGAAGAGTTTATATGTAATGCACCCGCTACGTTTAAATCATATGTTTGGAAACACTACGGATTTGCAAAGAAAGACGGAAAGCTCGACAAAACGTCCGTCATTTGCAAAGAATGCCGCGTTAAGAAGCCGTACAACGGCAGCACGACAAACATGCAGACCCACTTAAAAAGAGTACACCACATCACTGACAAGTCTAACGCCACCTCCCCTCCCTTAACATTGATTGCACTGTTGAAAGTGTCACTTTAGGTTACTCATTGAGAGTGTTTTGTTGTTGCTGTTTACTGTACTTTTTACAGCAGTAATTATTGTGTAATTGTTTTACTCTTTTACTATTGCAGAACTCACTCAAATCACCGATTTTCAGTGGCCAGTTAGAAAGTCAACTCTAGCACATTGTTTTGGCAGACAGTAGTATGGCCATTGAATGGTTTATTTGCACCATGTTAGGCAGTGCATTAGTTGTTTAATAATGTGTACTGTAATATTACCCAACAAGTATAGAGCACTTGTGGGATGTAGGGTTGGGATTGGAATTCAGAATTCAGATTCCTTAACAGTTGCAGGAGGTCTGTCTAATCTGTGTAACTGTACAAAATGGAACCCAAAGGAGCATAGAAAAAAGACAAAAAGCACTTTTGTTGAATTTACTGCTAAGTGCCTTTAAGGAATAAAGCCAAATCATTTTTGTAGTACCATACTGAATTCCATCTTTTATTTTTATTTCTTTTTTTTCTTTACTTAT